CGCGGCCCTGGGAGCGGTGGGAATGGTGGGGACGGGACAGGACGGGACAGAAGAGGCCCCGGGCACCTCCCCTCCTCGCCGGCCTGCTCCCGGCGTGGGGACGCAGTGTGACCCCAGCCAGCTCGGGCGAAGGCCACGGGGAGGCTGGGCCAGGACAGATTGCACGGAGCCAGGGACACGGCGTGGCCGAGCCCCAGCTGGGCTGGAGCCAAGCCCGGCCCCGCGGCCATCCAGCCGGGCCCGGGGCTGGCAGGAGAGGACAGCAGAGGAGGGACGTGCCCCGGCCCCGCATAAAAAGCCCTCGGCGGGGACGGGGAGCAGGCGGCACCCCGAGAAGAGCCCAGACCAGCGCTGTCGGAGCCGCGGGAGCGGGGCCATGGAGCAGTACTTCTCAGCCACCCAGAAGATGGAGCAGGAGGTGATGTTCCCCAGCCTGCTCCGAGGGGTCTTCCCGCAGCAGGAGGGGGCGGCCCCGGCCGCGGGCGGCCACGCAGACCTCTACGAGCGCTACCAGCTCCTCAAGGCCATCAAGCCCATGGTAGAGAAAGGCCTGGCCTCTGTCAACGACCAGAGTCAGACCGGTGCTGATGCCGACACATCCTCGGATGACAATGACACCATGGATGCCCAGCTGGAGGAGCGCCTGTCCCACCACCTGGCCGGCTTGCAGCAGGTCCTCACCCACCTCACCAGGGACACCAACGCCCTCACCCGGAGGTACAGCCAGATCCTGGAGCAGATCAGCCCCAGCGAGGGGCAGCCCAGCTGGTGACCCTGCCCCGGCCGCCAGGTAAGAGCTGGGGGGGGACACGGAGCCCAGGGGCACTGGGGCGAGGGGTGGCCGATGTCCCCAGGGGGTCCCCCACGCTGCAGGGGTGGGGAGCTACTGGGAAGTGCCTTGAAATGGGGGCTGTCCCCTCAAATGCTGCAGATCTCCATCTCCAGGCTGAAGGAGGGCACTCATCCCATCCCTCTGTGCAGAGACTCCAGGGGGTCAGGGTCTACGGACCCGGGCTGGTGGGCCAGCTCTCTCCCTGGGATGGCCTTCAGGGTTAAGGACAGCTGCCGTTGCAGGATGGGCGCCGGTGGCACGACGGAGAAGACGTCCCCATCGCTGACCATCGCGGGCTCTTCCCCAGCCCCGCTCGCCCTCCCCGCACCGCGGCAGCTGATCTCCCAGCGCTGGCACCGCACGCCGGCGACGGCTGGGACCACCCGAGGACCAGATGGTGCCTTATCCTCATAGGAAGAAGCATCTGGTTGTTCCTATGGGAGGTCCGTCAGAAGAGCCACACGGCTCGTGCCCTGCTCTTTATTTTCAAAGAGTGGCACGAAGGCGGTGGCGTTGCACGGTGGCCCCGACCTCCGACGGTCCCCTGCGACTGCCGAGCCCTTTTCCAGCTGGTACCTGGACTCCGGGGGCGTTTTCCCCCATCTTTGCTAATAAAACGAGCCCTGTGAAGCCGCTGTTGGTGTGGTGCTTTCCCCTGGCTGGAGCCCTCGGGGAGTGCCCCGGCGTGGGGCAGGGGGACCCTGGCTCTGCTGGGAGGGGACTTCCCAGTGCAGCGATGGGGAATTTGAAGGGCCGAAGAATCACAAAGTCCTGGGATGGTTGGGGTTGGAAGGGACCTTCAGAGACCATCTAGTCCAATCCCCTGTTGAGTGCAGGGACATCTGCCGCTAGATCAGGTAGCTCAGAGCCCCCTCCAACCACAGGGCATCCACAGCTTCTCTGGGCAACCTCCTCCTGTGTCTCACCACCCTCAGGCTAAACAGTTTTTTCCTTACGTCGACAGCAAGACCGGCAAAAGCTGGTGCCGGATTTCTGTGCACCAGCTGTGGGTTGTGAACCTGCCCAACGCACAGCCCAGGCATGCAACAGCGGGGCGGACACTGAGCCCCACTGCTGTGCACCCAGAAGGGAGGGAGAGAGACGTCAGCCCACGTACAACGCAGTCACCAGGCTCAGGGTTCTCTTCCAAGGTCTCCCCAGGGGCGTCCCACCGCTGCTGGTGCTGCTCTGTGCCCCAAAGCGCCCCACGCCTTGCTCCTGCCCCTCAGGGTTTCTGCCCCAGAGCTGCCCCAAGTGGGGCTGAGGCTGGGGACTGTCCCCGAGGAGCAGCGGAGCTGCAGGTCTCGGCGCCTCTGGAAAGCAACCGCCCCCGGGAGCCCAAACCTGTGTCCAGGATTGGGTTACACTGGAGATTCCCATCTCCTCTCGCCTGATCAGGCCGTTTCTCCCGGCTGTCGAGACCACGTTGGCTTCGGCTTGTCCTCCCCGAGCCCGGGCAGCAGGGACGGGGTCTCCAGCCACCTGTGGCCGAGTGGCCAGCCGGGGGGCCAGGGGCTCTGGAGGGGGCAGCTGGGGGCCGGATCCAGGGCCGCCCCACATCTGAAAGGGTGCCGAGTGGGTCTGAGCAAGGGCAAGGACAGTCCTGGTGGTGTCAGGGGAGGCAGAGACATGGTGGGAGGGGAGGCAGAGACATGGGGGCATCCTGGGGACAACGCGGGGACACTTGGGGACGCGTGCGCGGTGGCATTTTCCTCCTTCTGAGCCACGGCAGGGGACAGGCTCCCCAGGAGGATGGCGGGTCAGGGCAAGGCTTGCCCAAACGCTGCGTCTGCGGCCGCAGAGACCCGAGGATCTCATTGCACCTCCCGTGGGCTCGGCACCGACCCCGCTCCGCAGTGCTGCCGTGCTCCCCCGGGCGACTTCCCTCGTGCGTCCAGATTTCTTGCTTTTCTGGGAAGGGCAACGCCGGCAGCTACAAAAGTGTTTGCCGAGCACCAAGTGCCCTAAAACGTGGGCAAACACAACTCCTCCCAGACAGCGTGAGGATTTTGAGGCAGACCTGCCCTCGTGTCGTCCCTCAACCCTGGCAAGGTTGCAGCCTTCTCTCTTGTCCAGAGAAAGTGGAGCACAAGGGGGATCTTGGGAGACACCTAAGCCATCCCCGCATGGCAATGCCACTGCAAGTGGGGGGGTGATAGCACAGGCTAGGGGAGAAGTGGAGCTGGAAGATGGACGTGGGGTCTCCATGTCCAACCCGCCTTCGGAGCTCCTCTGTCTCCGCCAAACCACGAGGAATGGAGGGACGTCGGTTCCCGGTGAGGTGAGGACCACGGAGGAGGTGATGTCCCGCTGGTGGTGTACATGGCTGGAGCTGAAGGACAGGACCTGTCTCACCCGGAGAAGATGGTTGGCCACAGCGAGGAAGGCCTGTGGTCACCTCCAGCAATGGCCTTTCACATGGGCAGCACGCCCGGCAGTTGGAGAGGCTCCCGGTGCCCCGGGCAAGCATCGTAGTGGGACGTCGGGTGCAGCGCTCACCACCGCTGTTGAACACGGCTGATGGGAGACGCAGGATGGTCCCAGAAAAGCTCTAAGACGTGGGACAGCTGGAAGGACACGCTGACGACTTACGGGCCACTTGCAATCCCCCGGGAGCCGCGGGTCGGGTCCCTCTCCTGGAGCCGCCGGCTGG